GGGGGGGGGGGGGGGGGGGGGGGGGGGGGGGGGGGGGGGGGAAGAGAACCTCAGTTGATTCATATGTAAAATAAATAGGCTGCTAGAATTCATTGCTAGTTTAGTATGACTGAACATCAAATATTTATTCATCTAGTTGTTTAATCTATCTTTTACCATGGTGTCTGAGGGAGAACAAACTGATTCTACCCTCCATCATCACAGACCCTTGAGGGTTTGAGACACATCAAACATCACTTTCCTATCATATGGCTAGCCAGTACTTTGTGCCCTTCTTACCTACTTCTCTCTGAATCCCTGTGACTCAGTGTTGCTAACTGCCAAGGCAAAAGCCCCTTCATTTGCTACTATTCCCTGCTCTGCCATATCTAGCCACTTCAACCCTAAATAATCCTGAGTCCTTAGTCTCCTGTCTTCCTCTTCCACCTTGACCTCTCGAATCGCTGCTTTTTCCATTAATAAACTTCCCTTTGACTTAGACCTTTTCCTCTTATAATCTTTCTCTTCTTCTATTAGTGGTAACTTGGCTGTTCACAGAAGACACTGACATGTCTGGCCACCTTCTGTAGTATTGGGTATACTTTCTCTTATGTCCCTTGATACACTGGGTCAATAGGAGAAGTATATATACTCTGTCATCACTGCCAATTCCAGAATACTGCCAACACTAACTGTTCTCCTATCCATGCTCTAGCTTCACTTTCCTCCCTTCAGTTTTGGTGTTATGTTAAACAGTTCAATATATTACACTCTATCCCTTGTCCAATCACCATGCCTAGAGAATCTTAAATCTTGGGTTACATTCATTTTTTACCCTTAGACTGAATATAGTTAGAGGAAGTTACATAACAATATCAATAAGTTCTACTACAAATATGTTATCTAATTCAACTGGGCCCTTATTGCTACAGAGCAATCCTTTTATTCTTTCCTCATTATATCTTCATTAACACTTTCCCTAGCAGCTGTTCCAGTCTTCCTCAAGTTCATGTGGAGCACCTTCTTACTTTACTGAGGGAAAAAAAAAAAGCTATTCATTATGAGATCCTTTTTCTTTCCTGTTTTGTACCTCAAAAATTCTCTATTTCTTTGCTTAAATCTCTGAGAAGGAGGTGGTCTTTTCCCCCTCCAAGATCAACCCTTCTGTTTATGTCATAATATGTTTATGTCATATTATCCCATCCTTTTCTCACTCTTTTAAGAGTTTGTACTTTTAATCATTCCCTCTCTATTCATCATCTACAATCTCCTCATATACTGCTTCCTTTTCTGCTGACTACAAACA